CTCTCACACACACACACACACACACACACACACACACACACACCTCCCCTCCCCCCAAGTCTTCTCTTACCATGGCAAATTGAAAGGAGACAGGCAGCAACAAAGGTATGAGCAACCAAATGTCAGTGCACATGTGTGTGTAGGTGGAAACCCATGATCCATCCCCTCCCTATCCTCCATCAAGCAAACTGCATCCCTGACCCAATCCCGTACCCTCCATTCAAGAATGTGAAACTGTGCATCGGAGATCCGTGCAATGTCCTAGACTCAGCTACATTGTTATTGGAGGCTTTTCTGGAGCACTGTAAGCTCTATGTAACATAAATCATTAAAAAAAACCTGAAAAAAGAAACATTTTCATCGATTTAACACATTCTCTGCATGGCTGGGATGGTCTGGACCATACATCTGGATAACATCCGGGCACGGGCCCAGATTTGGACCTAGATGATGCCCATCCCAGGTGTGGCCAAGCCATGATCAGAATAGAGTTCGTTACTTCACCTTTGCCGGAAGCTCATTCTTTTTGTTTCCCTAAATGGGTTAAGCCTGTAACATTTTCGTAACTTGTAGGTCATGGCATCACGATTCAAACTTGTATCTGCTCATGAACAGCTTCTTGTGTGTACCATTCCGTTATGAGTCACAAGGTCTGGTAGGAAATTCATTCTTATTGCTTCCCCCCTCTCCTTATTTTCAATAATCCTTTTCTTATGGGACAGGGAAAGGAGGGCATGAGCAGAGAAGGGAAGTAAGAATATACATACCTGACAATCACGGCTAATTTTTACAGGCTTCCAGTGATTGAGAGGATTCTTGAGATGAAGAGTCTTCTGAAAAGGAAGATCGAAAAGCCGAATCCATTCTACCGAGAATGTCCCACCCCAGGGGCTGCCTCCCTCGCCATTCTCACTCCATAATGTTGACATTCGTCTTCCTATTGGCGATGCCATCCTTGCATACCCTTGAAAATGACCACTTGTATTCACACTGAAGATCAAAAGCACTCGCTCTGCACTCTGCACAATACATTTTGTCCATTCACATGCAAATGAAACAATCAAACGCTTTGAACAGTGTGTGAAAAGGCACCTCCAAAATGACAGCCAGAGGAATGTTCAGTCTGACTACTGCTCTGAACTGCTGACACATCCCCATAATCAATGAAAGATTACACATCCAAGGCTTCAATGCTTCCCCTCCACATAACCAAGTCCCAACAAATAGAAATCTTCCTAAAAGCACCAGTACGCCATACATAGGCCCGTGGGTGTCAGTGTGGAACCCGAACCACTTTGGAGGGCGCCGATGTTTTTTCCAATGGCGCCCCGCGACCCTGCGAGTTTTGCTTGTGGCGACAAAAACTTTCTGCACGGCTGGGGCCGTATACTAGCTGTTTAACAATGCTGCATGAAACTCCAGCCAACATTCCTGGACACCAAAAATCTACGGCAGCAATGAGACCCCCGGCCAAACTAGACACTCCCTCATCCTCTCAAAGTAAGATGGTGTTGGCTACTGACCTTAAAGCACCAGTACACCACACATCGGCTCGCGGGTGTCAGCACGAAACCCGCACCACTTCGGAGGCCGCCGATTTGTTTTTCCAACGGCCCCCCACGCCGCGCGGCCCCTCCGAGTTTTGCTTGTGGCGACAACAACTTTCTGCAAGGCTGGGGCCGTGTACTTGCGGTTCACTGTTTAACCAAGAGATTCTCTGTTCCCATGATGCGACTGAATCCTTAGAAGAGCTAGAGGTAGAGCTGTCGCAGAAATATCTCATAGCTTCTTAGCTTACAATGGTGAATGGTCCTAAAGGATCACTATTGGTTGGGGAAGCTTGTGCACATCTGCTAACTAGACCTGTAGTATGTACGTTAACAAACAAGCAGCATACAGTAGCCAGGGACTAAATTAAGGAGGTTGTGTGTACCTTCTCCCATGGGGAAGACAAGATAAGCCACGAGTTGTGTTTCCTTGTGAGGGACAAACGTCCATTTGATATGATCCTAGGATTGAACTACTTGGAAGTGGCTAGGCCTCAATTTGAGTGGGGCATAAAGACTATGTTATACAACACTCCAGATGAACAGACAGTCCATCTGAAGTAGTATCGACTTCATAAGATGCAGGACTGCAGACGGAATGACAATTACTAAAGGCAGAACTCAGAAGAGGGCATGTTTTTAATATTTGTGCCTCGAAAGGAGCAGGGCATAGTGAGCCCTACAGAGAAAGCAAGAGTCATCGCCTAAGTATCCAAAGTACCCTAGGAATGTACTACTTGAAAGTGAAGAAGCCTCAACATGAGTGGGACATGAAGACTACGTTATACAAGACTTGCAGAGTCAGATGGGCTCCGTAAGCAACGAAAGGAACTGACAGAGAGGGTCACAGGTTCTATTCGTGCGTAAGAAAGGGAGATATCTTAAGGATGTGCATTGACTATAGGGGACTTAATGCCATCACCATGCATAATGCAGAGCGCCTAGCCCACATTCATGACATTTTGGATAGAGTTCAAGGATGTAGATACTTAAGCAAGATTGATTTGAAGTCCAGATATCATCAGGCACGGATAAGACCCGACAACCAACAGAAAACTACATTTCACACTCAGTATGGGATGTTGCCGTTTGGGCTCTATAACGCATCCGGTACTTTCCACCAAGCTATGAATAGAACATGCACGACTACCTTAGCTAATTTTATTCTCGTCTATCGTTATCTTGAGTAAGTCTCTCGAAGAACATGCAAAACATATAAACACTGTACCCCACCTCTCCTGTCGCATACACATCCACACATGGCAAGTATAGCGCAGATCCAAGGAGTCGGCCCAAAGTAAGAGACCATATAAACACAGCAGAAGACTGAACAAACATCTGACGAAGCAATATCCGAATGCACAGTGCACACTCATACATGCATCACACGGTGAGAAGGGGACAACGCAGCATACAAGGAAGGGGCGATGTCCCCTGATCATCCTGAGACGAAGTAGGAGGGAGATGGAGACGAAGGGGAGAAGAGAGGAGTGAGAGACCAAGTCGCCAATGTCGCCAATCCCGAATGTCCCCGAAGTCCCAGTCTCAATACAATGCCCAAAGGCGGGTCTTGACCCAAAATACCAGGACAAGGCAATGCCCCGAGTGTTCCCCAAGGTTCAGATCTCAGATCTCAGATCTCAGATCTCTCTCTCTCTCTCTCTCTCTCTCTCTCTCTCTCTCTCTCTCTCTCTCTCTCTCTCTCTCTCTCTCTCTCTCTCTCTCTCT